CACTGATTGAGCTTTTCCACTTTTCAATTGTCAAACTAATGTAGGATGACTGACGGTGAGTTCCTGGGCAATTTGGAGTTGTAAGAGGACAAGCTTCAGTGATTTCTCATTTTGTTAGTTCTAACTTCCAATGGCTGATCATCACGCACACATTTTCCTAGCCTTTTCAGCAAAATTCGGATCATAACTGGGTCATAACTGCACTACATCTATCGGCAATCCTAGGCTTTGTTGATTTTGCCAAAATGCCTCTAGTGCTTTTATACTGACCCACAAAAAATCCCCTCTTACATCTTTTTCTTATTCTAAGATAATTATAAGTGAAAATAGACAGCAAGTAATAAATCATTAGCAGAATGACCGTAAAAAAAATTTAACAAAATGTAGAAAAGAAGGAAATAGGTCAACAAACTATGCCAATAAAATTAGTTCTTTGGATTAGATCCGGATTACCATTATCTATTCCTCAGCTAAATTTGCAGTGAAATGCCAAGTGCATATACGACGAAGAGTTAGCTTCTATTCTCACTCTGTCTTCATACACAATCACCCATTTTTTCCTTTTTTAGAATGATACGCTTCGGTTAAGTCCATTTGCACTCTACATACGTTTCACGAATCATTTATTCTCACTTGTTGGTTCTTCAAACTTTACGGAAAAGGTTGCAAATTCAATGGTTTTTGAAATCATTTCTGTTATAAGGTTGTTCGAGTGAAAACAAGTGAAGAGGAGGGAGGGAAAGTGAAATAGAGAGAGCAAATCATGGACGAACACATATGTAGTAACAAAGAAGTGATAGCAATTAAATGTGCTGAAAAGCTAAATGAAATGGAGAAGGTAGTTGAGAAATTCATTTTTTTTCCCTGCAAAACCTAATTGTGGCTCTAATTTCCCTTTTACTGCTTCTGCTGTTCCTTTCCTTGTTCCACGGGTGGATGCATTCTATGAATTCATCATTTTCTACAAATGAGGTGTAGCTGATATTAATTTGATGATGAATAAAAGGGTACATAAAGTATCATTTCATATTTAACATACTCTCAGTAATGAGTTAGGAACTGAACAAAAAGATTTATTGCTGAAAAATATGGAAGCTTCAGAGTCGCAAGAGAAGCAGCTGAATATTCCTGTCATTCACGAGGGAAGTTACATAAGACGGAACTTGTAGTAGAAAAATGAAGTTTTTACTGCAAACAGTTACGCCTCTTTCTGCATTCCTCAGTCTTATCATTTTGGCTCTTCACTTTGGCCCTCATTTTGTACCTTTTTAAAAAGTTTTTGGTAAAAATCGCATCTAAATATATGAATTTTTGAGAAGATCTTTCTAATACGACTGTCTCGAGCTTGAATGCGTCATATGACATTTGAATGACATTTGATCAATTTTTCATCATTTTTTGTAGTAATCGTCTTTGTTAAATCATAACTCATGAAATAATAGGGATCTACAGTTCTGTAGGTGATATATAATGTGAAGGTTCTTTTTTTTTGCTAAAATTGTCTGGTTTGTGAGCACATACTTCTCAGTTAAATGCATTTAATCAAGTGTGGATTGTATGGTTTAGGTTGAAAAGAGCAATAAGCAACAAACGGTTGAGTTTATACGAAAAGATAAAAAACTGATGGACGTATTTTATGTTCGTTCATATTAGGTGGTAATTTTTGCTAAATATCATCAGAAAAAAGCATCATGAGTAGTGAGTGAGGGTTCATATCTGGTTTGTCATCTCTATCACCCCATCTTATGTTTCTTTTTCGGCAGCAGCTGTGGGTATTAATTTAGAATCTGATAAATGTGAGTTAATGTTGAGGTCATCGGCGTACATTGATGATATTCCAGTTGCTTTTCTTCATCTCCACCATTTACCATACATCTTTCGAGATTTCCTGAGGTCAAAAATTAGGATTTTTCTTTTCCTCTTTTTTTAAATGCAGTGATGAATATATTGATGTTATATATTAATTTAAGTAGCAATGAAGTTCTTCCATTTCAGCGGAGAAAAATCAAGATTATTTCTGGATAATTAGAATTTAATCCAGCTCCTGTAGTAAGTCTTGATTATTAGCAGCAGTAGTGGTAGTATTTTCACGACGATTAGGTCTCCATAATCTCTAACAAGTAAGAAGTGGCTTGTCATTTACTCCAACGGTTGCTGAAGTTTTGTTTTTTTCTTGACATTCCAAATGTCTCATTTCTTATTCCTTTCTACTCATCTCCGATGCTCAGAGAATTTGATAAATCGACAAACTTACTTTATTTCAAAGTGATCTCAATAATTTAGGGCGGATCAAATGATTCTTCGCATAGGATGGGAGCGGCAATAACGGAACCCATGGCTATTGCATCAACCTCTGCAGGTTCTGCTTCTTTTTTAACGATGCCGGAAATGGGAACGCTGCCATTAGCATCTTCTCTTCCTAGCGCTCTTTGTGTAACATCCAAAACGTCCGATGTGATTTGCAATCCATGGAGGAATTTGGTCAGTCAGAACAGGAGGCGTTACAAAAAGGATAACTTCGATTTAGATCTTACATGTAGGTTTATATTCCGAAGTTTCTTTAAAGTGAACTTTATGTTTCATTAACAGTTGTGCCATCAAGCCTAAAACTGAGTTAGTTTTTTTTTCTTTTTTTTTTTTCGTTTGCCAAATATTCAGAGATTTCAGTAAGTTCTTGTTATTTACAGCTTGAACGGAAAGTGCATCATGTCTGCTGGATTTAGAAAATTATTACCAACTTTTAAATTTCTATGACGGAAAAATTATCTCCAGTGAAATTAAATGCATCATTCATCCTCTTTATCCTTGCACTTTTTAACTGTACTGTTATAAGAGAATTCAGCCAGCATGATGTGATTGTTTATGTAGCAGAAAAAAAATCTACTGGTCGGTGTGAAAGAATAAAAAGTGTTTGGCTTGGAAGTCATAACAGGTGTATGTTTATACCAAATGATATTACGAGTATTTGTAGATATCACAGACCGGATCATTGCAATGGGCTTTCCAGCTATAGATCAAGAAAAGATTTACCGGAATAGCATGAAAGCAACAGTTGCATTTTTGGAACGTTACCATGCTGATCACTACATGGTTTTCAACTTGTGAGTAATGTCATGTTCTTGCTTTCGATAAACTGCGGCACAGAGTGTTCACATTTCTGCAGTTATAAAAAAGAACTGTTAATCTACAAGTTTTGCGAAATAATTCGCATTGAAATGCTCTTTATCAGTCCTTTAATTTTTTAGGCGTGGGCGACATGCATATGACCCGAGCTATTTTCACAATCGCGTGATGACCTTTGAGATGGATGATCACCATCCACCAAGGCTGGAATTAATGGCACCCTTTTGTCGTGCTGTAAGTTTTTATAGTAATTGTAGTATAAAAATTTATGCTTCTTTGCAGTAATGAAATCAACTTAATGGATTTCTTCTAATTTTGCGCTCATGCTTCGTGATGCATAAATACTAATCCTCTGCAAAATTTTATCATCTCCAATATCGTTTGTAGTAAACATAAAGCAAAATCAGTACCTTGGCCAGATTCGTTTTCTAGGTGATTAACTCATTTTCGAACTAACACCCTCTTTTCTTTGCTTTAGGTACCAGATAGAACTTTTTGTGCATCATGGACACTGGACTATGAGATGCGTTTTTCCTTTTTTTTTATCTTTCGAAAGTAACAGTTGATGGAAAAGGATTAACTTGTTTTTTCTCACTATTGTTCATTTTCCGATTTGAAATGAAAAAAACGCTTGCCAAACTATATTACTAAAGATTAAGACTGGATAGACATTTGGACTTACTAATTGTCTTTGCTAAAGATTGTGTATCTCCTTTCGTTGTAGGTGCATGACTACTTGGCTGCCGATGAGCAGAATGTTGTTGCGGTACACTGCAAAGCGGGTAAAGGACGTACGGGTGTAATGATTTGTGCTTATCTCGTGTATATAAACTTTTATTATTCACCAAGGCAAAATATGGATTACTACAGTATCGTGAGGACAGTCAATAATAAAGTAAGTTCGAATGCTTGTTGCAGAAGTTCATTTAAATGTGGCTTTGTGGTGAAATTGCGATCTGTATTAATGTTTCCATAATTAACACATTTTCAGGGTGTAACCATACCATCTCAGCGACGTTACGTTTATTATTTTTCACATTTAAGGAAACGCAATCTCAATTATATGCCACTTCGTTGTGAACTTATTGGTGTATACTTTGAGCGACCTCCCAGATTGAACGGTTAGCATTTTAATGTTCTCTTTTGCTTTCATTATATATTTGTTCCGTCTTATGGAGCTCTTTCACAATTTTCGGACAAGTCTTTCTACGGAGGAAGAAAACGGGAATCTCCTTATCACCACCATCATCATGCTTATTGTTGCTTTGATTATTAAAATAACACATGAATGTTGTTTTTATTTTGACTTTTTAAACATCAATACAAAAAGATAACCAAATGCGAATGGTGGAGAAAATTCTTGTGGTACGATTCCGGGTATATCAGTAGGTTAAAGATTTTATTTGATGGTTTTGTCTTCAAGCTTTTTGTGAGAGCGTGCATTTTTTTTCTCTGATCAGGTTTACCCTGCAACATCTTTTTCCCAGGTATCTTACTTGATGGAGCATATCGGTTACGAGTTGCTAATGGCGATGTAGATGTATTTATACCGGGACCCCTTCGATTAAGTGGTCGAGATTTTGATGAAGAGGAAGCACTTTGGAGCCAGTATCCCTGCTCTGTAGGGGAAGACCAATTCAATCCTTACGACCCACAACCTGGCAAAGATTGCATTTCAAGGTAAACTGATTTTCACGTTTTTCAGTTAATTTAGTCAAATATTTCTTTTCAAATAAAAGTTTGCTTTACAAATACAATTCATTGGTTGCTAGGCGATGTTATGGATGGAGTGTGCCAGCGAAGAAAAGAGTATTCATCGAAGGCGACGTTCGGATTGATTTTTATGCGAAGAAGTGGTTTAAAGGTCTGGGATGGACTTTGGTAAGGTAATTCTTGCATCACTAACGTTTTATTTGTTTTTTCTGGCAATGGGTCATATTTACAGAAAGATCGAGAGAAACTAGGGCATGTTTGGTTCAATACAATGTTTACTTGTCCTGGATATTGTGGTGGAGTGTATGTACATGGTGACGAGGCATATCCTTACCCAAAAGGTGGAAGTAAGCAATTTCAAGTTTCAGTTCTGGTATTTTTTTCGAGTTTATTGTAATTGAAACAGATGATTGCAAGTCTGAATGTATTTGAATTCAAGCAACTTTTTATTTTATTAAATAAAATTTAGTTAAAATCGGAAGTCGATGTGTTCTTCGACACATCGTTATAAAATATGGTGGGCACGGACTGCTTACTGTTCATTCTTTAATAAAATTTGCATTTGAGCAACGATATTCAGTCCATGGCCGCCTCTCGATTCTCGATCTTGCGAAACAACAAACGGTATTCTTAAAAATACTTCTCAGTATTCTGATGGCAGTAATAGAAGGAGACGAAATGAGAAGAAACCCCATCTGAAAAACGAAAGACCAGGTAATTATCATTATTTCGTGAGGATTCGGCATTTTTAACCGGATTTTCATCCTGCATAGTGACTCTTTTTTTATGCTAATTTTTGCTGAGCAAAAAACGGATTAATGATTGAAAGATTTGCAGTATCACATCAGTGGAATATTGATTCTCCTCCAGGACTTGAAAAACATTGCCCTCTGCGGTGTTTGCCTCTAATATATCCTGAACAGCTCGGAAGGCAGCCGTTCGTTCTATACTTTTTTCTTTTTTTTTAAATTGAAAGCCAGCTAGATGATGGTATGTTAGTAGTATGTAAGAGTCATTATTGGTGCGTCTAGTAACGAAGGTGATAGAGAAAATATAAAGAAACTCGAAAGGGGGAGGAGATACTCTAATACTTTTAATGCAGAATATTTGGCATTTTAGTCCACGGAAAGAAATCATGGCGATGTTACGTGATGCACACATAAAGCATTTGATCAGCGATAAGTATAAGATGCATCTTCAGTCACTTCCATCTAGCAATACTATTCCCAGAAGTCCCGAAGGTTATCTTACTTATCTCGTTTTATAAATGAAAAAATGGCTTTACAGAATCATTTTTCAAGTGCATTTCCAAAATACTTCTCTTTCAGTCAGGTTAGACTGTGGAGGGCCCATGTGTCTGATGCGTCGACCCTACGAGCATGTCCTAACATTCAGTGTTCTAGAAATAGATCGAGCTTTCAAGCATGATAAAGTAAATAAGGGCTTAAAGGTAAGGTGTTCAATCATTTTTGTAATTTCTAGGTAACTATTAGGGAATACGCATAAGCTGTTAGTCGTTGTTGATTCCTTTGCTTATAAATCATCGCATTTGTCAAGTTCTTATCCAGCAGATACTATATCTAACCTATTTTGTTCAGATATATGTAGTCGTGAGGTGTATTGATGTTGACAACAAGGACGATGTCGAATTAGCAAAGAAATGTATCGAAAATATGTACGCAGCACAAGCAAAAATTGATGTAGCTAGAACAGAGGAGGTGAATTCTCATGAATGCTACCAGTGAATTGTATTTACATTATTTTAATTTCTTTTGAAAAAGTACTAGCATTGCAGATGCGAAAAAAAATGGGCAATCCAGATTTGAAAGCCTTTCTGACAGTACGTCATCCCATTCATCAAATTCTTACTCAGCAGATGCTATATCTGACCAACCTTGGCGATGTGACCCTCGCTTGCAGAATACTAATTTACGTAAATATTTCTTCAGACAACGAGCAGATTCGAAATCGGTTCATCCTCCGGCGAATTATCGGTATATTTGATATTAAATTGTTTTATAGCTGGTTTGAATGAAAATTCTTTCCGGTCGACTGTAATTTGATTACAATTCACATTCGAGTATCTTTTTGGTCACGTCCGCACCTCGATAATGAAGCTATTTTAATATGTTGTAGTGTAATCTTCCCACATTTGTGGCATTTTTTGTGCATTATTTTCTTTATTTCCTTAAAGACTTACTACAAAAGTATTGTTGAATATTCAGTTTGTTGTACCTTTTGTAACTAAGCTTCACTTGATAAGTTATGATTGGTCCAGATGAAGGCATGCATTATTTAATCCCTTTATAGGTGTAAGCCCAGAACAGCTAATTCTTCATCAGTGAATTTATGGGAGACTGACCTAGCAAATCACGGTAGTGATGATTGTTTGGGCGAGGAAGAAATTACAATGGTAAGCTTAGAAGAGTAATTCAAATGCAAGTATGAAATAATGGATAAGTGTTGTGGACTTGTATCTATCTGGTGATTTTTTTGCTTGCAGAAAAAACAGATTGAAAATGCAGATACTGAGTATGCAAAAGATTTTATAGCAACTCAAGATCGAGAATGGCTGGAAGAGTCATCCGAGGTCCGTTTCGATTGAGTAATTTGTAGGCTGTAACTTCTGGTTTTACTTCCATGTTATCGTGACTTTTGCCGATTTTTAAAATATTATGTTTGCAGAGTGGAGACTAAGAGCATTTTTATTTCATCCATTGGATTAATCATCCTGAAAAAAAAATTGTGGATTGCATTCTTAATAAGGAGAGAACGAAGGGATGGTTCTCACACAATCGTCATTGTCGAATTTAGATTGTGGGTGTTATTTACGCGTTGGGCATCATGTGATGATGTTCGTTTGCTTGTTGCATGTTGAGATTTCATGTGTTTTAATAGTTGTTACTAATGATATAACAATCACAAGTTCAACTTTATGAATTACAGAATTGATGTTACAACAGTTTACTTCAGCGTTCATTAAACCAGTGTTTTTCCGGCGTTTGTAACCCAATCTTTTTACAAAGTTGTTTCGTTGTTTTATATCTGGAAGGAGCTTACTAGCCAAATCTAATTTTTTTGTTGTTACGGAATTCTCCATTATATGATCTTTTTTCAAATTAGATTTTCTCGTTGCTGTATGTTATAACACGCTAGTGTACTGGCAGTTTAGATTTACTTTGTCTAGTCATCAGCGTGAACCGAGCAGTCAATCTCTATGCTTTTCTATAGCCTTCTTTAAGGACCCATTCAGTAGATCAGTTGTGTATCTTTGCTTCACTGTATTGGTAAGCCAATATTTCTTCGTATTTTAGTTTTCCAAGTTTTTCTCCCATCTTTTTCTAACACTGGATTCCGCTGCAGTTGTGATATCCCCTACGCTTAGTCATGCATTTTGACATCAGTCTTATTCCCATAGATTTCAAGCCGAAACTCAGCTTCGGTGATTCTTCTTTCGGTGTTGTTAGCACCGGTTTATTATAATTCCGGACTGCTGCAACCGACGTTACATTGTAATTGTGCTTAGTCTTTGTCGTTCTTTGCTGCAACATTTGGGAAAGAGATCACAAATTTTAGTTTATCCCGAATGTTCGTTCACTTCGGTTTGTTTACTAATCCAGCAGGGGTTCCATTTCCGTTGGAGACGATAATATAGGAGGAAGGGGTAATCAGAAAAGTATCCACAATGTTGTGAAAGCTTGATTTTTGTTTTGACCTTCCGTTTCGCATTTTTACACTGTAAATATCGTAAGCATATCATTTAAAAAGTTCTAAACGCATACTTTTCGCTGTCGCTAGGCATATTTGGACAAATTAGACACAGAACAGGGGACCTGCTGGAGAGACCCGTTATCACTTTTAAGAAATTGCACTTCACTGTAAAGGAAGTGGATAATGGTTTCCGACACTGATATCTGTGCGTGTTGCCGTACTACCATGGTACAAACTGTACTGCAATAAATGAAAACATTGAATTGGTCAGTATTTCATCATCCTTCAAATAAGGATTATATTTTCCGTAAAAGAAAGTTAATTCCCATCAGTTTGAGTGCATGAATTTACCATCTGAAACACCTAATGTTCTCCGGCTGTAACCCGCCTCTGGTCCCTTTTATGAGTCGCGAAGTCAATCGGTCTGTATTTTTCTACCATCGCTTCGAGCATTTGCATGTTTTTTACAGGTGTCATCCTGTTTCAAGAAATTTCGAAAGTTTTGTTTAAGTACTCAGATTACTTCCAGCCATGTAGTATAACCTACTAAAACAACAGAGCTGGTCTGTTTCGGCGGTGATTTATAGGGCAACCATAGAAAAGGGGAGAAAAAGATGTGAGAGAAGTTCCTCATGTAACCTTCGAGAAAATCTGAGAAGATACGTGAAAATTCTAATTTGAAGTACATTATTTCCCCGGGTGGTGCTAGGTGAATCCGGACAATGCCATTGTAAAAGATTTGTATGTGTTCTTCCTTCATCAGTATTTTCTGCTTGTTCTTGACAAATCGTATTGTATTCACAACCCGTATACATTCTGATTCCGTCAGGAATATGTATGTCACACTACAAAAAATGAAAGTCTGTTACAAAAAAGAAAAAATCAAATCTGTAAGTCAACGTAATTAAACATATAGTACACATGTACATCTTTGCCCATTCTTGATAACTACAATAATACATCCGGATAGAATGGAACAAACTGTTTGATATCACGTCCCAAACGAGCGAACGTATACGTGAGACTGCCCGCAACTGCTGAAACTGCTAGTGAACCCGTCATGCAATATGTTGCCGAGATTACAAGTATGATTTTCGCAACTGTTGCCTACAAAAATTTATTGCATCATAACTGAACAAGCTCCATCATTGGGTCGGCTCAGTTACTTCAAAAATGAACAGTAAGTCGCTATTATTTCAGCGGCATGGCGAGAGTGGGAAGAATGAGTTTCAGCTTAGATAGCAAGTAACACTGAAACTACAAAAGTATATAGAAAAGATATTGAAAGTAAAAGAGTGAAAAGACGGAAACCGTTACCTGGTTGCTTTCCTTCAAACCGTACCTGCAGTATTTTGCAAAATGTTCACAGTTGTTTAGCAGGAGATTATAGTCAGTTTTTCCGATCTGTAATGTTTAACATGAACTGATGATTTGTATCGCTTAACTGGATAATGATGATTTATTTATTTTACTATGTATGTTAATGAATGCAACAGAAGTAAATGATCAAAAATAATTCTGACAGTGAAGCATTACCATAAGTAGAGCTCGATCAACCACAATAACTGGTGGAAACGGCCTTTTCTCCTTATCGAGTGAATTATTTATCCGGCAGCTATCACCGTTGGCAACAGTTATTAGCTCGTCACGACGAATCTGAAATATTCTAATGAACAGAAATTCCAATTCGTCCTTTTTGGATTCTGCGGGATTGAACTGTTATTTCAACTTCCAGTTATACAACGTATCTCTGATGATAAGTGATTTTCTATTAGGATGTAAAGTATGGCCTGAAAACTTTTCAACAATATGAAAATCTATCTTGCGTAGGACGTGTCAACAGGTGCGCTTTCAATCTCGATCATTTCAATTGCAACAAATTAGAACCGTACGAGTTTCCTACATGTGGAAAAGTATTTCAAAGACTATAAAGTACTGTACAAACCTGTATTTGATTACTACACGACACTTTTGTTCTGATAGTTGCCAGGCATTCAACAGAACCGCTGATAAGGTTGTCGCCAAAATCACCGAAATCGGTCCCTGTATGAGCAACGTATGCTTTTTTATCGTGAAAACCGATAAACACTCCCCAATGCTCAAATATTTTAATTATGTAACAGAATAAAATTGAAGGAAAATATACACCGATAGGTAATTAGCATAAATACACAGTATTTACTCCATTTACATTTGCTTTCCTCGTCGTGAAAAGATACAAAAACTTTTTTAAAACACACACCACAATATACTTAAATGTAAATTGGGAATTGAAACCACTACCGGATAGCAGTGGATATCAAAAACAGTATGTAGACGGTATATTTAAGGAATCACTGAATATAAAAAAAAATCGAGCTGTAACATTCAAATTAAGAGAAAAGTACTGTATAAATGCGTCGTTTTATACTACCGATTACGCGTCGAAATTCGATCAAATCACCAATTTCTAAGTGAGAACGAAGTCTCTCCGCCTGCATCCACTCTGTAACGAGTTCACCTGGTCTTAACATGTTCGAAACATCTGAAATGAGTGTTACACGAATATTAGTGTCGCTTCCTGCTAATTGATAATAACAGATCCCTAACAGTTCCGATACGCTCGGATAAAACTGTGACTGCTCTGCGATCGACAAATGGCTATCATTTGTCAATCATCAGGTTCAAGTCAATTCAGTTCCTAAAAATTGTAGTGAAGTTACTGTCAATCCAAGACCAGAGATTTTCGCGTATCCCAAAGGAATGAAATTCCCTTAACCGATATTTCCCATAATCACCTCTACTACATCGCATCCCTTCTTTTCTCTTTAATCAGACAGCCTTTTTACATTTAAGCAGAGTGGGAAAGTAAAAAAATCCACTGATGCATTGGAGTTTAGCCAAATAAAGCGAGAGAATGCTCATTAAAATGGCAATGCATGTCATTAATGATAATGCATCCTTAATAATAACATAAGAAAACAAACACTAATAACACAAAAAAAACTACATAACATTAGAGAAATAATACTATGGTGCATCATGTATGTCGTTCTTATATCACCAGGTAGAAAAACAATACTATGTACATTATACATGCCGTTCTTATGTCACCAGGACTTCCAGACATCAACTCTATCGTCTATGTATCACACGAACAACATTATCCGAATAAATTCTTTCTAAATTTCAACTGATATTGCAAACAACTTCATACAAAGTAACCATCAATAAATCGGAAGATATCATCAATTGCTACCGCCGAAGTTTCTTCATGTTGACTGGTTCCTGCACTAACATAAATCACATAAGGATGCTTTACATCTATCGCAGTGTTGTCTATTCGAAGGCCTATTTCAGCATGCTGAGATGCTCGCCAATCCTTTATTGCTGGCAACCATTTCATAACACTTACAGATGGTAACGTGAATACTGCATCCGTAAGACATACGCATTTCAGTCTCTTCATCCATTCTTTTGACCAATAATTTTCTATCTGTAATAATCTAGCTGCAACAGAATACAGCAACACGCAAACAGATCTCATGATTTCGCAAACGAATTCAGCAAGATTTATAAAAACCTTACAATGCCAGCGATAACAGTGCCTCCCGCACTGTGTGCAACCACTGCAATTGAACTTGCTTTCGACCTAGCAATGTATTTTTCCCATACGGTAATACCATGTTCTAGGGGCGTCCTACTTCCCTGCAATAAACTTCATCTGCACTAGCAGCAAATGATAACACAAGCGCATAAATTTATCTTCCGAAGAACGTTTATTACTGCAGTCGTTGGTTTTGTCACCCGTGCACATATATTATTTGCTGAAATATATTATTTGTATATTACTTGCTTATAATTTGTATTACTTATATATTACTTGTATTATATTACATATATTATTTGCTTAAAGAAAAGAAACCAACTGGCAGTGGTTCGGGAGGATTGTTGTCAGTTACGTTCATGTTGGTATTCATCACAATCACTCCCCAATCCCGACTTCTGCACATTCGCAAATATGGCAGTTGTGAGCCCATATTTAAACTTTCATTCATTATAAGCCTGAAAAAGATCAAATAATTATAATTTTCTTCTATTCCGATAATTCTTGCAAATGGATAAGAAAGAAAAACAGAATTAATCAAGATACTTAAAGATATGTAAATCATGATTCACGTTCAGGAGAATTCCTTGTGGCAATACGATACTGTCTGAAAGTGCTACCATCCAAATACTTACCTCCTACTCCACTGCCCTGCACGAACAAAACCACTGCCATGTATAAGTATAACAAGATTTTCTTTCTGATACCAATCTCTGCTAAGAAAAATGAATGCACTTCTTGTCCTGTTTGTACTGTCCAGCTACAGAAAAGTAGCGATGAGTCATAGTGATAAGAAAATTTTTATCTTCATTAGCATTCTTTTGATGTCTTGAATAATCCCCCCGACTTGCTTCAAGACAGCTGAATAGAAAGCATTCTCTCAAGTGTTTTTTGAAATGATTTCAGGAAGCAACAAAAAAACAAAAGCATACATACTGTCTTTCCATATTATACGGCGGGTTTTCCATTATTCGATAAATTTCCTGAGTGACAGCTGAACCAATTACCTCATAACTTTTTTGATCAATGAACTCATACCTTTTCTCATTCTGAAACAATATTACCTGCAAATCCGCAATACTGATCATTAGTTTCTATCTCATACAAGCAACCAAAGCAAACCTTATCTCTCATAACACCATGATTATCAAAATGGTAACCGAGTGCTTTCAGGCTTGGCTGTTCCACATCTTCCGGTTCAGGACTAATGACTGCTCCTAGAAACTTTATTTTCTACAAAAAAAAAAAAAAATGCACAAAGTTTGACACTGTTATAAATCAATCCTTATTATTTAACGTTAGAAACAATTTAATTCGGTAGTAAAATACAAGCGTATACGATATTTCTTGCTAAACTGAAAAGACAAAGCTTAATATATATAAAAACACGGGATCAACGGTCGTACCGAGAAGACACTGGAGGAATGCGAAGAGGGGTTATTAACGGGATGTTTGCTATAGCAGAATCCATTTTATATTTATGCTCACTATTTTCTCGATGGCGCTTAGTTCCATAGCAGTACTTGTTATAAAAACAATATGGTTTAGAACACTTTAAACAGAAAGTGATTTAAAATGTAACTTCAATTTAAGTAACTTACTAGATTGTAAGCACAATGGATTCATGTTGAATGAGTGCTGAAAGACTCTTCAAACTGTTTTAGTAAGTCAAAGATTTGGCGTTACTGTCGAACTACTAAAGAAACACTCAGAAGTGACAGAATAAAAAAGCAAAAGAGCCACCACCACGAAAGGCACTCAACCTACCAACCGATGATACCATCAGAACATTCGCGAATACGACGAGAATTATGCTCCACCTTCCAAAACAATCCGTGTCAAAAACGAAACGAAACATTTCAGGAAATTGTTTCGGAATGCAATTTTAGCTGTGATGATAAAGTGAGAAGAGCCATTCGGATATATATATATATATATATATATATATATATATATATATATATATATATATATATATATATATATATATA